ACTATCCCACACTAAGTAGACATAACATCTATTAGTAATAGTGAGAGCCTATCTATAAGATAGAAGAAAACGCACTGCGTAGTGATTCCGAAGTATATTATTTACAACAAGATCGAGTAACTGTAAAATATCGTTAACAGACGTTGATTGAACATCTACGTTACGATTATACCTACCAGGAGCCTGATCGTGACATCGTTCACTTGTTTGCTTGTTTGCTCGTTTCACGTGATTTGATCTTTATTCAATAAGATATGAAATATATATAATCCAATAATATGAAATGTTATAACGAAAGATCATTATATAATAATATAGTTTAAAATAGTTATTAATTATGTAAATCATGTAAAAGATTGAAAATGTATAAAAGAAGAGTTTCTTGTTACTAGAAACTCTCATATTTTAATTCTTTTATTTAATAAATAACAAAGTTCTTACTAATAATATTTTTACTTGTAAATATATTATTATTTTCATAAATTATTATCAAATCTTGAAATTACAAGTAGTAAATATTTCACTACTCTAAATAAGTTGTTGATATTATTACTTTTGTTTATTTTAATTTTATTATTTTTAGACTATTTTAATAAGTTTTGTTTGATTATTTTTAATTATTTTTGTTTATATTTTATAATTGACAGTTTTAATAAATTCAATTATTATTTTATTTTGTTAGATATCATCAATAAGTTTTATTATTTACTTTGAAACTATTTGTTAATTTCTTTAATTCTTTTTGCATTTTTTTATTTATTTCTATTTTTAATTAATAATAATTAATTAGTTTGTATACAAGTTATCACAAAAAATCTTTAGAATCTTTAGTGAATTCTATTAATCATAATTCATTCAGTCTTTGTTCTTTCACTGTTATGTTATTTTATTAGTTCATTAATTTTAATAATTTTTGAATTAATGAGAATACTAGTTATTTTGTCATTTGTTTTTCTTGAAGGCTTAATTGTATCATAACTAATTATTAATTTATTTTGTATTTTAGATTAGTTAATAATTTAAGCAGGATTTACACTGCAGTATTTCAAATAATAATAATAGTAATAATAATAATAGATAGCTAATTGTGTTTTATATTTTAAATAATTCATATAGTATCACATATCTTTTAATTATCTGTAATTTTGATAATAGTACACAATAAATAAGATTACACTGAAAGTATTTGAGAATAATAATAATAATAATAATAATAATAATAATAATAATAATAATAATAATAATAATATGGCAACTTTATGCTCTAAAAAACAACTTCATAAATTGCAGTTTCTGGTTCACAATAGACTGGAAAGCAACCAATCTCACATGAAATCAAGACAAAGGAATTAACTCACTAACGGCTTCTGCAAACGCATCCAAATTTCGTACATACTTCACCAAAATAATACATGACATGTTACCAACATTATCCAATCAACACAAATTCTACCCATCAATATACACACATGACACGTGCAATAGATGTCATCTCGAATCAGAAACAAACAATCACTTATGGACTTGTCCGAACTCAAGTGATCAAATCAAATCTATTCTCACCAAATCCCAAGTCAAACTCGAAAAAATTCTTATAAAGCACTTCTCATCAACCAACACTCAAAATTTTTCTTCCTCACTCAACTCTGAAATCAAAAACTTTACAAAAAACTCTCATTTTCTCAACAATGCTGATCTCTCTTCCAATATAGGTCATAAACCTGGATACATGCTAGTCTTTAAAGGCTTCGTTCCATTAGAACTCACAAACTTCATCAATTCACTCGGTCCATCCAAATCAGAAGCTTCTGCATTATCAGCAAAATTCGTAATCTGGTTTTCCAAACAAGGTTTCACTCATATTTGGCTAAATCGTTGTAACGACCAAATCAAAGCAGAAAAATCAAATTCCATCTTCGCCAGACACAAACGTACTTCTAAAAAAAGAACAGGAAGACCCAAATCAACTACATCCTCTAATTCCATTACTAATATCTTTCGGCTCCACATGGAAAACAATCTTTGCTCATGCAAGCATTCAGCTTCATCTCATTTAAACAATCAATGCCCTGATGAAGGTCTTGCGGATCTTCAAGGAGATCAAATAACATCACTAATATATACTCTTCAAGCTGAAAATGACTTATTCATTAATCCTGTAGGCTTCATATAATCGCAGACACGCCTGGGTGGCTAGTCACATTGTGATCATCTGTCATAGATCTTCTGATGGCTCTTTTCTTTAAATTTTAATTTGTAATTCTTACTTTGTAAGTTAAATTAGCATAGAATTAGAGTGCGACTACACTGTAGCAAATAGGAATAATAATAAAATAATGCATATTTATTGGCTAACAAATTCATGTTATGACTGAGTTTAACTATCTTGATATAACATTATTTATATTAATTTAGTACTAAATCCTCTAAAAACTCATTTATAATATCATTTAAAGATCTTCTGTTATATAAATACTGTTAAAAGAACTGGAATAATAATATCTAGTTTTTTTATATTAATTCAGTTATAGCTGAATTCAGTAAATTCTTTAATAAATATTTGATATTTTTTGTTAATATTTTAATTAATAATATTAATAACAATAAATAAATTTTTAATTGTTTAATTTATTTTTGCTGTTAATTAAAAATACTATAAAATTACTTGTTAGTATTTTTAATATAAATTAATACTAATATTTATATTAATTATTTAATTTTGATTATATAATTACAAAAAACAAATCAAATTATATATTATATGAAATTATTTTGCTTTAATAAACTTTTATTTTTAGTAATTATTATTATTTTAACTATATTTATTTATAATTATATTTCTTTATAATCAAAATTATTTAATTATATAAAAAATATATTAAAATATATTAAAATTAAAGATTTTATATTTTGTAAATACATGAATTTTCAAATATATTTCATGTTTTCATGTACAACTTTGCTATTAAATATGAAAAATTATTAATTTTCAAAAAAAATTATATTAAGCTTAATAATTTTTGATTTATATCAAATTGTATCAAAAATTATTATTTTTTAAATTATTTATAATGATTAATCATTATAGATTTAATTTCATAATTACAATTAGTTATAATCAAGCTGTTGTAATATTTTAAATATCTCCAAAAATTCTTTGATAAGAAACAATCCTATTGGTACAACAATATATACTGAATACATATTGGAAACATACTTTATTCACAAAAATAAACAATGATTGTGTGCTTCTCGACACATTTAATCAGTAAATCGGAAAAGAATATTATGCGAAAAAATGATCAAAAATTACATTATTATTACACTATTCAATAAAATAATTATGAGATTACACAATAGATAAATGCTAGATAAATGCTAATATTATAGTTAGTCTGTTTGACTAACGTCGTATGAGAAAATTATCCGAATAGATAATACAATAACTAAATAAAATATTAAGAGTGGAGCACTAAATATATTTATACAAGTATTTACGCTAATTCTCTCAGGATTCTTTTAAAACATTACTATCATCACCGCCATAATTAATAATTCCAGATCCTTCCTTTCTGTATGAGATGAATCATTTCGTTATATCATCGTAACTTGGTGGTAAGTCGCTAACAGGCACCGTAGATGAAGATGCGGAATTAGCAGGACGGTTCTGATGAGGAACGGGCGATGGAGAACGCGAGATTACTTGTGTATTGGAATCTGAAGTTTGTGCTATAAGATTAATATTGTTACTGTCTTCATTACTGTTATTATTATAATTATGATTATTATGATTATTATAATTAATGTTATTATTATAATTAGTGTAATAAGGATTTATTAAAACTGGTTCAGTCGCGTTACTAAGCAATGGATTAGGTAATGTTGATGTCGGAGGTGTTGTGATAAAAGGGTTTGGCGATGGCATTGCGCTCACTAACAAAACCCCACTTGAAGGAATGGCTGTTGTTGTGGCTGCATTTTCAGGAGTTTCGCGTGGTGTATATGAAGGTAACTGCTCATAAGTCTGGGGTGCATTGCTTTCGTGTTCTAACAATATATTACGTTATTGAGCATAAAATTATTAAAAAGAGACTAAAATATGATATAATAAAGAAAGGATTCGAATTATTTCTTACCCGCCATCCGTTGTATTATTTGATTATATATATTACTAAATTCAAATCCACCTATAAATAATTATAAAATAAAATTCTATTAATTTTAGAAATAATTAAATAATAAATAAATTAACACATGCCTCCTTCTTTAAAGGTAATTTTCATATTTCCAGGGACAGACATCCCACCATTTGGAACCTAATAACCAAAAGAATCAAGACAAGAATATTTCCTTAAAATAGTTAAAATTACAAAGTACATACTGGAAGCACAGTGGCCGTGTAATAATTTGCGCCAAACCAAGGCTGTGCAAGCTTCCCGTCTCGGAGATTTTTCAATGGAATACTCAATGATTTTAAGTGTTCAACAGTAGGCTTTGAAAGAAAGATCACCTACAAATATAAATATAATAATAAAGAAAATAAACACCACGCCATCAGAACGGATGAATTATATTCAAAAGATGATGTTCGTTTTGCGTTTACTAACCCTTTGATTTGTAATGTGTATAATTCCATCAGCTTTAAGTTGACCTCCGTTTCCAGGATACCCACTAAAAAATCAATGGTAAATTGCTCTTAACAATTGAATTCTTAAACAGCTGAAGAGGAATAACAAAACAGTAAACTTAAATTATCAAAATACTTAGATCCTAATTCTAGAGCAAGCGAAACCTTCTTTTTGCTAACAAATAATGCACATTTTTCATAATTAATAGAAATCTAAGGTGTAACTCCGAAAACTTAAACTTTTGTTTTATACCTAAAGAAGAACTCTTCCTCAGGAAGAGGTAGTGGAACTGGGTTTTTAGCATCTCCTGCAACCAATGCCCAATTTAAAGCCATTTTATTTATCTTTTTTACAATAAATCAGCTTTTATTAAATATTCGAGTTCCCCAAGAATATCGATATTGTCTTTCCTCCGCACCTCCCCCTCCAATAAAAATGCGCAAATTTTTGATCAGTCCGGCAAAACAAATCCGACGCAAGATGTCTAAATCTAGCTTGGAGCCTAACGCTAATAACAAAATGTCGAATGTTACATGTAACTTTGACCTCTGTTCTAACCCAAATGATAAAACAACAACAGACCGGCAAAATCAGATCATGTGTTACCACTAAACTCAGGGGGACACTCCTGAAAATTATGCGCAACCAATAAAATTTGATCTATGGGTGACACAAACCAATAAAAATGTACAAATTTTTGATCAACCCGGCAAAACCAGTCCGACGCAAGAAAATGAAATGTGAAAAAACTTGGTACATTAATCAAAAATGTTGGGAAGGCAATTTTACATATAATTTTAACAGACCCTGATCCTATCCTTAAACAATCTTTAACGTTAATTAACATTAATCGGGTGCGCAGAATTTTTCGAGGTGTTCTTGGGTAGTACCACTAAAGTACCACACAAGACATGCACATTTCTTAAATTTTTAAATTTCCCATTTAGTTTAATACACCTTACACGTTATAGCTAATAGCCAGTATAATAATTGAAATAATTGAGTTTGCTATAAATAAATAGATGAGGTCTGGGGTAGCATCATCATCATTCTCATCCTCCTCCTCTTCAAACCAAAGAAAAACAGTACACGTGTATAATAAGGAAAGTTAATCGATCATTACTATTAAGATAGAAAGATACAGATGGTGTATTGTTAAGGATAAAATTCTTCAATTGTTCGTTGTTCCCATGAATTTTCATCCGACTGCCCATGATCATGACAATGATTCTGACGATAAGCATCATTATTCTCATTAGAAAAGAGAGCAATACTATCTTCCAAAGAATCGTCATTCGTACTATTATTACTTTTGCTTTTATTATTACTATTATTGTTATTGTTATTGTTATTATTAATATCGTGTAGTGTATTGTTTTCAATGTCGTAGAATGGCGATGCCGGAATACTTGGATTTATTGAATTAATATTCAATAAGCTTATGGAGTCATAATAATATTGCCCCATTATTGGTGAGGCCAACGACGATGTTTGCGGTGTTGTTCCCACTCCAGAATCATTAGAATTTTTACTGTTATCATAATCGAAATAAATCGGTGAAGGTTGACTATCGGGATTGATTTGATATAATGGAGGTGGTTGCTGATTTGTTGGTGAAGGCGGGATGTAACTATTGACACTTCTTTCACTATCTTCTATTTCGTTGTTTTCATCATCTTCAGACTCAGAGTCAAGAGTAAGATCAATAATAATAGGTTTATTATTTTCTTTATTAGAAGATGATGTAATATTAATTGTCTCTGCTTGCGTTTCTTCATCGCTATCGTCAATAATATAAATTTCTTGGTTATTTTCAACATTTTTTATGACTTGGGGAACCTTTATGATCGGTTCAGGTGGTGAGGTCAATTCCCATCTACCATTTGCTTCGATTATAATTGTCTCTTGATCTGGCGGCACTTTATCCAAAATATCAGCGAAATATCTAAAGTTTTTATTAAAAAATATAAAATATTTTATAAATAGAGCAATCTATTATAATAATTAATTAACATACCCATCCAATGCAATTTCCTCCCATGAATTCAATATATTATTGCAAACGGGACATGTCCATGTCGGTGTTTGTTCATTCATTTGGAAATAATAAACAATGTCGAAACATTGAATATGATGACAATTTACAGATCTACATGGGGTATTTATCCGTAAGTGACAGAGCTACAAAATAGAAAATTAGTGACTTAATTTGCAATCGAATTTTTTCCGTGAAAATTATTTACTTACTGGATCTTTAAGTGAAATTACACTTGAAGTGGCAACGAGATCCGGATCTTCTGCATCTTTTCGTACTTGTTAATGAATACGAGGCGCCAAAAATTAAAAAATACATTTCTAGTTAGAATAATTGGATTGAATAATTAATTAGGAAATAGGCAAAAATGTATGATCGAATACTCACGCTGCTGAAGCACCTCTTCTTTACTTATCAATCTATTCCTCTTTATTTCTTCTACTATAGATTCAACTGATATGCTTCTAACTATTTGTACCATGACCAGATAGGGCTGTTTCGATAAATAAGAAATAAAGATGGCAAATTATCGAGAAAAATAAATAAATATTCCAGAATAAATTTTATAACGTGACGCGCCGCATCAACTAACTAACCTTTACAGCATTCGCGTATACAAATTCAATTTTATTGGAGTTTTTAACATTCATATTACAAAATGCTGTGATATCAGGTGGTTGAACAGTCCCTGGTTTGTTTTTCAGGCCTCGAAGACTCTATTTTACGATATTGTCAAATTAATTTTTAATACATTATGAAAAATATGTAGAACGTTAATTTTACCGTCTGTAGCTGGTCTCCATTGACATATAGTTCACACATTGCTGGAAATTCTACTAATGCAACATGTGCATTTCTCGACATGTAATGAGTTGTTTCAGGCGCTGCACAACTGAAAAACCGAATTTGATATTTGCCAGAATTTTCATTATATTTTGGGCTAATAATTTAAATTGAGAAAAAAATTAATTCGCGATTTGCAAACATGTAAAATCCAAATCATGAATCTTACTTTATCTTGTTTAGATGCGAATGCGTTAAGAAAAAATCAACAAAAATCCGATATTTCTCATTTGAAGCTATCATCATCAATATAAGTAAAACATTGGATGATTGTATAGAGACATAGTCACAAATGATCAAATGAATAAATACCATTACAAACTTTCCCGGTTGTCACACGTTCGACCACTTCATAAAAAGGAGATCTTTTAAATATTATATTTTGAAAATAGTTTAACGGCAAATTCGGTGGAAGCTTTAAAATTGGTTGTGGCTGTGCGCGCCCGCCGTTATTTGTAGATAATGAAGACGATGACGTCTTGTCATTGTTGGGGTAAAAAGGATACGGATTTGGATGATGATTATGGTTATAATTTAATGGTGTACCTAATGATGGTGATGGAGGAGGAAGTTTACGATAATTGGGAGTGGAATACGGGGAATATGAGGGACGACAATTTGAAGGATAAGAGCCACCAGATTTAGTTTCTTTATTTGACTCCCGATTATAACCATTATTGTAATTAATCCGAACTCGGTTTATTGAACCTTGATTCGGTAGAGGCGTTGATGATGAACTCATTCGATTAATATTTAAAAATCTATTAGTAAATTAAAAAAAAGTGATAAGTCTACTGGCGAATAGGATCGTCGTCAGAATAAAAATAAATCTGCATAAATAAGCTCTAGTGTGCGCGCCGATCGTATCGAAATTAAAATTGGATTGGATGTTCTCTAACCAAATACACACGTTTTTGTTGTTGCAGCTGTAATTGACAGCGGAATCTTAATGAAATCGTGGACTTTCTCCATTCATTACACCATCCTTACCTATCAATCTGTGTCCTAAGAAAGTTTATCTTTTCACTATCACCTTTTTCTCTGAGATTTTCAATGTATTCTTCTATCCGTCCGGCTAAGACTGCTTTTGTTCCACCAACTTTTAAATCCACCAGTCTGCACACGTCTTTCAATTGAGTTACAAGAAGCCTGGTTAACAACTCGAAATTGAGTTGCTAGTTAAATAAAAAAAACGGGGTAAAAGATCCGAGAAATTCATTGGTGATATATAAACACGTATTATTACAAGAGTTTACGAAAATAAATTTATGAACCTGTGAATCGTCCATTAATTTATGTAGTTTTAGATCTAGAATATCACACTCGAGCTGGGCCTCGTTTGTAAAAATTACCCATCAACAAGTTTAAAGGTTGGTATATGTAAAAAAAGGAAAAACCATTGCAGTATTATAATATGTGGTTACACAAAGTTATATGCTCACGTGATATCTAGTTTGATATCACGTGGTCCATCTTACGATATAATGATCACGTGATTGTTTAAAAAATGCACTTTTTTGGTTAAATCAATACAAAAATGTACTTTGATGTAATAAGAAATTATGTCAAGGACTACTTGCTCTACATGTTTTCTTATTATCATTTTAAAAATTAATTAGAATGTTTTCAATAAAAACCTCAAATATTCAAGTATAATTTGTTAATACAGAAATCCTCTCATTAATCAATAACGAGAAGAGAGAATTGGTATATCTATTATTAACCACTTAAACCAAGAGCTCCGTTCCATAGTTTAAGATTCAAAAAATCCGATTTACTATTTTTATGAATGGTCCAAATTTCTGATTCCGATTTCCGGTTTATCGAGTGTCCCTATAATTTTGGTTGAATTACTTTATTTAAAGATTTGCAAGTTGCTTATAAAAAAATTCTCGTAAATCAGCTTTGTTGACGATATTCAATGTAACTCGGACTATTATAACAATTGGAAAAGTCAATATTAATATTTCAAAATAGAAAACAACATATTTTGGGTAGAAAATTCCTTTTTTATAACGGAGTTTTCGAATAAGGGCTTTTTTTTAGACGATAAATTAACTGGGATCCTGATTGATAGATGGATGATTCAGGATGTACGCAGTACTTGGCTCTTATTTGTTCCACTGTTGTGCTTTTAAAAAGTCCTTTGCACCCTTTTTTTTCTCGAATTCCTTACTGGAAAAAAGGTCACTTTTTTCCTAACGCGAATCAAAGCTTCAAACAAAAGATAAAACGCAAGTTCCACTATTTAATAAAAGTCCTATCGCCTGCGCGCGACGACGAACCACATAACTGTTACTGGGTATTACTTCCATAGAGAATAATAGTGACAGTAAATATATATATAAAGACTCCTCTTACATACGTTCCCGTCTAATTTCATTTGTTGCGGGCTTTTTATCAAGTACAGAGCTGCTTTACTGAATTTGAATTATTTGTCTGTTTGTGTTTTAATGTTGATTACATGTGAAATAATAAAGAAAATTTCAACACACGCCCTCGCTCTCTTGCCTGATATAGTTATAAGAAAACGACATTAAAATGAGCATTGCAGAGCTCCTTGCTAACACGCTCTCCGCTGGTCAGTAGTAGTTGATTATTTTGTTTATTGGTGGTTTTATGAAGGTTTCTATATAAATGCAGGTTTTTTGCTTGATCAACCAAAAGTGACTACTTTGCATTACTACTACCATATTTTCATACACTAGCTAACTAGCTAACTATTATGGACTTTATATATTTCTGCAGACCAGCAAATTCGTAGCGATGCAGAAAAACAATTGCAAGCTTTCGTAGTCAACAACTATGTAAGATTTTCCTATATGTCAAGATAATAAATAGCTTGACGTGCCATATCTCAATTTTTAAAACGCGTTCGAATTGTATTAAACATTATTCAAATAATAATATCATGGATTGATTTTCTTTATAATTAGGGGCAATACGCGGCATTACTGGCTCAAGAGCTTGCTAACGAATCAGCACAAGCATTTATTCGTACAGCGGCTGGACTGGCTTTAAAAAATACATTAATTTCAAATGTGAGCAAAGACGAATTTTCTCCTATAAATCTATGCACAATATAAATAATGTTAAACACTACTGATTTTAACTGTGTATTCGAATTAATTTGATCCATCAGGAGGGACAAAGAAAACTTGAATTTTCGCAACGATGGTTATCTTTAGAAGAATCCAACAGGGCGAACATCAGACAAACGGTATTTTTTTATCTTAAATTTAATTGATGGAATTAATAATACTTATCCCACAAATTTTATCCAGGTGTTTACGACATTATCATCCCCAGATACCAGAACCTCATCTACAGCCGCGCAGGTTTGTACAAGATATAAATTAACAGCATATTTCGCCAATCATGAATTATATATTTACGATCTAATGTTTTTTTTTGCAAAAGGTGGTCGCCGCAATCGCCGCAATAGAACTTCCTCAGGGGCAATGGCCTGACCTAATCAAAAATATGTTAGACAACGTACAAAATACCGATAATACTCAACTCAAACAAGCTACACTGACAGCGATTGGCTTCGTTTGTGAGTCAATTGTAAGTTGTTTATCTGGTATTTAATCACTTTTTCAATTTCAAATTTATCAGAAAATAATATCATAAATTTTCAATACTAGGAACCTGAAATTTTAGCCGCACAATCCGGTGCTATCCTGACTTGCATCGTTTCAGGTGCCAGGAAGGAAGAACAAAAGTAAGAATACCTTAAGAAAAAAAATTTGCATTCTTTTCTTTCTTTATCAATAACAAATTTCTGATTAATTCACCCTTCAATAAAGTCAAGAAGTTCGGCGCGCAGCTATAGTTGCTCTTTATAATTCATTAGAATTCACTCGGGAAAATTTCGAGCGAGAGGTATTTATTTATTTGTATATTTTGAAATTTTCCTCATGATGATCAAGCATACTATTTCGGGATCATCAATATTTAATGTATTTTTTTGCAGGGTGAACGTAATTATATTATGCAAATAGTATGTGAGGCTACGCAAAGTACCGATGTGAGTGTACAAGTCTCGGCGTTTGAGTGTTTGGTGCGAATTATGCAGATATATTACGATAAAATGCGGTTTTATATGGAAAAGGCCTTATTTGGGGTTAGTGTTTATAATATTATTATTAAAAGATAAAAGAAAATACATATCCATCAAACGAAAATCACCGATTACGTGCTTTTTATTTAATATATAGTTAACCGTTTTTGGAATGAAACATGAAGATGAACGAGTAGCGCTTCAAGCTGTCGAATTCTGGTCGACGGTTTGCGAAGAAGAAATTGATTTAGCTCAAGAGGCGTTAGAGGTTATATATCTCTAACATTCTAATATTTTACTTTTTACCATATATCCTTATAATATTAATATTTATGCATACGTATATAATTCAATTAGGCTGCTGAAACGGGTGATCAACCAGATCGCTTGAGTCATAACTTTGCAAAAGCTGCACTTCCCGAAATCTTACCTGTTCTTATGTGGCTGCTTACAAAACAGGTATGAATTCTTTAAAAGCATTCATATTTAATTGATTTTACAATTGATTTTTCACTTTTTCAGGAAGAAGAGGCGGATGAAGAAGATTGGAATGTCTCGATGGGTGCCGGAACATGTTTAGCTCTACTAGCTCAATGTGTTGAAGATGCCGTCGTTGGACCTGTTATTCCATTCGTGGAAAATAACATTCGTAGCAGTGAATGGCGATATCGTGAAGCAGCCGTCATGGCTTTTGGATCTATTCTTGAGGGTCCTGACCATAAAATGCTCGCGAATCTAGTGAATCAAGCTTTGCCTGTTTTGATTGATATGATGAAAGACCCATCACCTCAGGTTAAAGATACTACTGCATGGACCTTGGGACGTGTCTCGTATCTTTTGATAGAATGTATTAAACCCGATGTTCATCTTCATCCTCTTATTGCCTCGTTGGTTTATGGACTTAAAGATTCGCCTCGAATTGTCTCGAATTGCTGTTGGGTAAATAAATGGTGTCATCATTTATTATTATAAATATCAAACAGATTTTTCTGTTGAAAGCTAAAATATTTCTGTAAAATATCTTTCTAGGCAATAATGAGTTTATCCGATTCTTTTGGTAGTAGTAAGGATGGAGCATCGCCAGCCTATCCACTTTCACCTTATTTTGAAGGAATTGTCACTGAACTCTTAACCACCACCGAAAGGTCATTTAAATTCCAGTATATTGAAATTCTTTCTAAACGAATTATTGAATGACTTGTTTGATTTCTGCGTATGTTAATTATTTTAGAACTGGTAACGAATCTAATGCGCGAACATCAGCTTACGAGTGTATTTCCAGTCTGGTTACAGGTGCAGCTTTGGTAATTACCATTTTTAGTACGAGTTTGATGACATTCGTTAGATTGCAAGCAATAGTACTAATATTCCGATATATATGTTAATTGTAGGACTGCTTTGGTACCATCCAAAAGTTGACTGTTACTATTATTGAAAGATTAGAATTATCAATCACCCAACATGTACGTAATATTTCTCTGTTTTCCAGTCCAAGTAAAAATGCTAATAAATTTTATTTCCATAGAACCAAATTCTAGGACAAGATGAGAGAACTGCTCATTCAGAGTTGCAATCAAACCTTTGCAGTGTTTTAACGGTCAGTAAAGTTTTTTTTATCAAAGCTGATAGATCCATCACTGTCTCTAACATGTAAGTTATTGTTTATAGAGTATTATACGTAAACTCAGAACCGAAGTCGCACCATTTGCTGATAGAATAATGACCACACTGATTACTATGTTTGGAACACAACACAAAGCTTCTACTACACTAGAAGACGGTTTCTTGGCAGTAGGAGCTATGACAACCGGTAAATAATCATCAAATTTTTTTGTTTTTAAATCAATTATTCTAATATTTGTTCACTTTGATTTTTTGGTAACTTTGTAGCTCTTGAAACTGATTTTACGCGTTATCTGGATGCCTTTGCACCATACCTCTACCAAGCGCTTTCAAATCACGAGGAGCATCAACTCTGTAGTATTGCTGTCGGGCTTATTGGTGATATTTGTCGTGCACTTCAAGAGCAATCGTTGCCTTACTGTGATACCTTTATGAATGTTCTCTTGCAAAATCTACAAGTTTGTACCTTTTTAAAAAGTTACTCTCTGGTTTATATAATAATATATAATAACATATAATAACAATCACCACGGTTATATTATCAGAGTCCGGTTCTTCATCGAGATGTGAAACCAGCAATTCTTTCTTGTTTCGGAGATATTGCACTTGCAATAAGTGGTCGATTTGATGTATATCTAGAAGTGGTTATGATGGTTCTTTCACAAGCGAGTAACATGCGTGCAACGGAAGTAAGTGTATTTGACTAATTACTTATGGAATACGAAGTACAAATTTGTTTTTTTTTTTACCATTCTAAAATAATAATTTGCTTTTTTATAAGAATAACTATGATATGATAGAATATGTAAATAATCTTCGTGAAGGTATTCTTGAGGCATATGTCGGCATTGTTCAAGGCTTAAAGACTGGTGAAAAAGGTTTGTTTATCTCTCGATTTACCACTTTTATGTAACGATTAGTTATGACAATCATTTATCTGGCGTGTTACCTCTTTTGTAGCGGATTCGCTCGCACCATATGTAAACCAGATCTTTCAATTCTTATCCAATACTTATAATGATCCTGAAAGAGGTGACACGCTTATTCGTGGAATAATTGGCTTATTAGGGTGAGTCCTGATTTTTTAAATGACGGATAGACCATTTTGAAAACAAACTTAATCATATTTATATATAATGTGTTAGTGATTTGGCTGAGGCATTCAATGACGGACAAATCAAGGCAGCCTTCCATCAAGACTGGGTTTCAGCCGCGTTAAAAGAAGGCAGGACAAATCGAAGCATGCCAGGAATAAGGGAAGTCACTAGATGGGCTAAAGAGGTACGGTTAGAAGAATAATTCATCAGAGTACATCAATTTTTTTTTTGAAATAGTCAAATGATGTATTGATTTTTTTCTTTACTATGCACACATATAGATGGTCAAGAGGGCTAGCCAATAAATCGGTCTTATCAACATTCATGAACATTGAACTACTACTATTACTATCACCACCATGATAAAATATTTATTGTTATTTTGTCTGGTGGAATGATAATTGGTAGTGAACACACAACACACTCTCCCACTTCTCATATTAACGTTTTTCTTTTTTGATGCTCCCCCCAGATGATAAAATCCCCTACCCAATCCCCATACACACACACACACACACACACACACACAGTTTTTTATTATTCTATATATTATTTATATATAAATTCTTTATACTTTTTCTTTTTTTAATACACACCTTTTTTTTAGATCTTACCTTTTTCTTTGCTGTATTATTCCTTTACTTTTACACTACTATTTTTATTACTGTTATCTATCACTACTGACTTTTGTGAAACTAAACATTTTTTTTAAACAGCCATTACCCCTAAATTCTTTTTTATTAATTCTCCATCCACACCTCCGTCCCTTTGTAATCTTTTTTTGCTATACCCCGTGTTTATAATATAAATATATATATATATATATATTCGATGTTGGGCATCATCCCCTTATAATTTTTTCTGTATTTTCCCCCATCACCTTTGCTTTTTGTGTACTCTTCTCTTCACTAAAATAAACCTTTTCTTTACACAAAAAATCGCGTTCGTTCATAATTATTATTTCGCCATTTGCGAAAAATAAAAATTCCCAAACAGGACCGTCGTTAATTCCCCTACATAATATTTATAAGTTTGTCAAACTCATCATCATATTCCTTGTAAATATACTCTCTCTATTATCCTAATACTATGGTTGATAATACTATTTATATACCCCTCTTACTTATTTAACCACAGCAATATCCTGAAATGGTGCTTCTATCTAAAGTACCATCTAAATATTTACTCTTTAATATTATAAGGAGTGTAAGACTTGATTAACCCGCCACTAATCTTGACATTTTTATTTGAATCATCCGTGACAAAGGATCAGATATCAGAAATCAAAGTTAACTATAGAAAGGTAAGGTTAGCGGGGATTGTCGACTGCGGAAATTTTTCCGATGAGGAAAGCTTGGATTGATTTATGGAATCTAGCATCACAAAAAGCATACCAATTTTCAAGAATTTGTAAAGTTATCAACAATAATTTTAGTCAATTCAGTGCTTGTTGGGCAAATCTGATCAAAAGCATTCAGGTAATGTATAAAGTTCTACTAATATTACTATTATTATAACTTACCACAATTATTTCTATAATAATAATTACTAATACCACATGAAAGTGAAAGTGACGTTTTTTGTTAATATAGATAAATAAAGTAACGCGCGTATCTCTTTACACCTCGGTCAAAATCTCCGGTTCTTTAAATTCTCCTCGGCTTCCACCCACTTTAGCGCCAGTGTCAACTGACTCAACATGGAGTTCAAGCAATTTCTGCACGTCAAACTTGGGACTTTTTAAAATTTTGACCTTGCGAATGAATACCTAATAAAAAAATGTATTTAAAAAAGTAAGAGGGATTATTTATACATGGACTGCCAAATAAAGAATAAGAATAATGAGATCAAAAATAATCATACCGATTGTAGTGGATAAATTCCTTGACAGGCCTTTTCGATTTTGCGACCAATACCCTCAGGCACGAATACCTGCACAGCTTGCTTCAAATCAACAGCCGAAACTTCAGCGGTCATGATCTCGAACATCTTTTTGCGGATTTGACGGATTTGCGATGTTTGTGCGTAAGTTGTCTTTTTTATTTGATTTGGACGTTTTCGTGTAAATGCAATGGCGAAAAGTCGAAGCAAATAACCGTCGGTGGTTTTTACGTCGACGTGTGCTTCGATAAGTGACTGTAGTTTAAAGAATTATAATAGAATTTTATATCAAGCAATTGATAACAAAATATGTATGCAAATTTTATTTATAATTATTGACGATTTTGCCGATAAAAATTGATATTATTAAAAGAAATAATATCGAAAACTTACTTGCCACTTCCGGACTAGAGATCGAAGCTTATCAGATGTAAAATCCATACCGTGAAAATTCGTAAGCAGATTTTTTCCTTGTACTTCATCGACTCGTAGTTTAATCTTTCGGAAGGACTGTTCCTCGTCACTATTTAAATCGCCCAAAGACATTTCGAATACACGACCTTTTAATGCATCGTTGGCATTTTCTAGATAATTTCGAGATTAAAAATGTAAATTCATGGAAAACAAAAAATCATGACACTATGATGAGGATGTTAAAAAGGGGGGAATTTTTACTTACTTAAACCTTGAGTACGATTGACAAGTGTTTTACCAACGTTTCTGATTGCAAAAATTGAAGGAGCTTTCACATCGTACCAGTCTTTCCGCGTAAAGGGATCGACACTATTTGATTGAATTTGTTAATGCATGTCTTCGCAATATATAAAACATAATTAATCTCAAAGAATCGATTTTTAGATTTTTTCTCAGGTTTTCCATTGATATATTTAAAGTATTATCACTTTAAGTATTGATGTGGGAGATAAAATAATCTTTTTCGCTTTCGTTATCATGATGTATCGTAACTTTACTCTCTTTCCACACCACAAATTCCACACTTACATTTTCTTTTTCAATCCCTTTTTTCCTTTACTAAGACGCTTATTCTAATATCAAATATAATTCAAAGGATTAATAATAACCCTCCATATCAACAAAAAAATCACGTCCAGAATATAAAGAATTATTGATTTTTTACCTTACCAACGGCTATTCAGAGCACATAAAATTATGAGATTGAAGAAAAATTAAGTGAATATGGAATGAAAGATGGATGGATGTGATTTTAAAATAGATTGCTCATTAGATAAATCGCTTACCCATTATGAAGCTCTACAGATACCACAAAAAAGAACGGAGGAGAAAAAACTTGAAATATTTTTTTACTGATGACTTTATGACGTCATCAATAACTCGTTGAATTTATGCGAAATTTGTTAACGTTAATTAAATTTATGCTGTTTTCCATTATAGTTCAATTAATTCATTAATTTTGGTGATTATACTTTTGCAAAAAATTATATGACATATAGCCCAGTTTTATAATAGAGCCATACAAACAAAATTTTTTGGTTTTCATAACCCGGCCGGGTCATCAAATTTAAATTTTGAGGCGCAGTCTAATTATATTGGTATAAAAATCAATTATTTTTTTTTAGCCCGGACTACAAAAACAATTGATTTCATCAAAAATCGATTTTATATAAATAAAATTTTTGACTTTAAAAATAAAAAGCCGGGTCGCTGAATCATTTTACATAGTCATGTGTTATGAAAACCAAAAAAGTTTGTTAGTGTGGCCTAATGTCGGGGGAAAAAATATATTCTTCTCAATAATCATAAAAACTAAAATGATCAGCATAATAAAATCTGCATAATTCTGGTCAGGATTTAGGTGGCCAAAAATCCTTCGAACATAAAACCCATCTATTATGTAAAATTGCCTCTCCGACATTTTTTATTAGTACTCCAAGTTAGATCTGAACATTCATTTCTTTTGTGTCGGATTTTGTTTGATCAAAAATTTGCGCATTCTTATTGGTTTATGCTACCAAGCATTTCATTAATCTGGCACACATCTCAGGAGTGCGTCTCAATTTCAACGTAACATGTATATCAATCGTTATTGTTTTATAACCAAAGAAATACATCGATATGACGAATGTAAATTAAAATTTTTTCCACGGTCACGTGATTAAGTACCAGCGAATATGCGATTAAATTAATATCTTATTATAACTATATGTAACGTCATCCTTAAATCCCTTTTCCATAAGGGTACATATAAAGATCAGGCTCAATTTAACGAATTTCTTAAAATAGCGAACACTTGTTCAATTTTTGTCCCCGACCCATCGTTAAATCGAAGTCTGACTCATATATATCGATATGGGCTGATTTGACCCCATAATGATTTAGGTTTGAGCCAATTTGTGGAATAAAATCCGCCCATATCGATATGCCGCAGATAAAATTTGGCAGGGATCGGATGTCATTGTAATTTAAATTCTGTAGACAATAATAAATAATACATATTAATAATTATTGCTATAATATAAAGTTATGTGTGTGCGCGATACCAATACTATACACAATGATATATTAAACAAGAGACCCAACAAGATTTTTTCTCCTTCATTAAGGAGACTTTAACGATCAATCAATCAATCAATTAATTAATTAATTAATGAATTTAAGCTTAAACAAAAACGTTGACTGAAGACGATCATTGAATCATTGTGTCTTGTTATAGAGAGAGACCAGAAAATAATTGCCGACCACAAAACGCGTATAATAATAAAATAAATGTTTGCCTATTAACAAAAGTTCACATTACTGGATCTAGTAAAGTCTGTAACATGATATCACAGCAGAAGACCAACAGGATTTTCCCTTTTTTAAATTACACAACATCTAGTCGAGAAAAAAAGCATTCATTCAAACAACAATCATCAACAGTATCAAACAACCAAAAAAAATTCATCATCATTTCCTTTTCCATTCCCCTCCTTTCTTCCTATAACAAGAAAAGGTCGCTGTCTATCTCATTATAATAAGAAAAACTTCGCCATTCTTTTTTTATTCTTTGCTGTTTAATAGCAAATAATTTCCCCTCTTGTTCACTTGTTGTTTCTTATTATTCCCCTATTATTCAAATTCAAAAGGAATTTATCATTAACATCATCAATCTTCATCATTATCATTCATTATCAATAATTTTGATACTAAACTTCTTTATTTCATACGTTATTTTCTCTATTAATTTTGATTTTTTATTAATAGAGGAATCAATAAAAATCATAATTTATGAGTCTATTTCTACCGAAACCTATTTCATCCTCAAATTATAATCATTATAATTCTAATAATAACCTAAATAATCCAATAGACCTGGAAAAAATGTTTGCTCCTCGATCCTCAAGGCCTGTAACTGTTGTAGCAGTACCTTCAAAAAATCGACTTCGACGAAAAAAGAAGGGGGAAAATGCAGCGCCCGCCGTTAGTATAAATTAATTTTTCTTTTTTTTTTTCATAATTTCCCTCTTTAATTAAAGGAATGATGTAGTGGTTTCCTTGAATTTCGAGAAAGTATTCTTTAATGCAATATCAATCCTTCTATCAATTATTAATATTTAATCTATAGATTGCATATAATATTTAATGATAATGCATTTGATATTTTAAATTTTGTATATTTTCTCACGCGTTTTCCTAATTTTTCACAGATTTCACTGGAACGTATATTAGGATTAACAACCACAAAGAATACAGGAATTAGTATAGCCGGGGATTTGGTTGCCTATGCAGCTGGTTCTGTTGTCGTGTTATACAACCACAAAAAAAATAAGCAAATTGGCTTTTTACACGCGTCATCAACAGCGTCGCCTACTCCACCCTCACAAATACCCACAAATACTGCACCATCATGGTCTGGTGCTTTTCAAAATCGACATACAATAGCAAACGACGGATTCTCGAACCCCCTGATGAATTCATTGGGTATTCTTGATCCAACCGCTGCTGTTGGCGCATCCTCAGCTGCTAATTCGCCTAAAACTGCTGTCAGTAATAAAGCGAAACCGATATCGTGTTTAGCTTTTTCACCGGATGGAAATTACCTGGCTGTTGGTGAGGTAATTGATTCGTTTCTATTGAAATATGTTCAAAGTTCTTTTATTTATGGATTACATTACTTACGAATATTTCTTATATTATATAATGATGAAAAAATAGACTGGCCATCAACCCAGAATTTTGATCTGGGATGTTTTAACTAAAACACTAGTAAATGAATTAAAAGGACACAAATACGGTGTACTTGCTTTGGCATTTTCACCGAATATGAAATATGTTGTATCTTTAGGATTTCAAGTAATTTTATTTTCTATCCCTATCCAATCTTTTCCTATACTAAAAATGATTAACACAAAGCTTTTATCCTTTAGCATGATGGATATTTAAATGTATGGAATTGGAAACAAGGGATTAAATTAGCATGTAATAAAGTCACAACAAAAGTTCATACAATAGCATTTAACCGGAGTGGGTCGTACTTTGTCACTGTTGGTTTAAGACACGTAAAGTTTTGGTACTTTGATGCCAATGGAAATTTACCCAAAAAACCGGCAGTAAGTTTCTCTTTAATCAATGAAACAGCCACAAATAAAACAATTAACGGATGTTATGATGACAATTATTTAATAGGGTCAATCAATACAAAAATCATTAGTACAGGTGTTGGATGGACGATCGGGAATATTGGGTGATTTAAGAGACCATAATTTTGTCGATGCAGTGTGTTGTCCAAAATCCGAGCACACTTATTTTGTCACATCAAATGGTTTGCTATGTATGTTTACCGAAGGGAGGATGATGGATAAATGGGTTGAATTGCAGGTGGGCAAATCGTCTGTTAATCAGTCAATATTAATGTAAAGAAAAAGTACTTAAATATTGACGAATATATATATTTAGGTTAAAGGTGCGTACTCCATAGATGTAAGCGAACAATATATTGTATGCGCATGCACAAATGGCATAATCAGGTGAGCGTGTGAAGAAAAATATTGAATATTTTTTTTCATTCAACGTTAAATAATTGCTGTTACCTCAGACTTTTCGAGCCAATTACCCTCAAATACCTGGGCACACTTCCAAAACCGCACCCACTCGGTGTAGATCTAAGTCTACAAACTGGAAACACATATCAGGGAAACAGTAACCCCGACGACACATATCCAGATACGATTGCCGTAAAACTAGATCAAGAAACGGGAAAACTGACGTGTGTGTACAGTGATCGGAGTATATTTATTTGGGATATAAAAGACAGTAAAAAGATTGGAAAGTATCGAAGTTTTTTGTATCACTGTGATTGTATATGGGGAGTTGAGGTATGAATTGATGATTTCTGATAATAAAATATCCAAGTAATTAAACTAAAAATAATTCTTTCTTTAGATGATTCCGAATAGAGATTCAGAGACTCAAGCATTACCAGAAAATACATTTGTCACATATTCAGCTGACGGAACCATTCGATTTTGGAATTTGGATGGAAGCACGAACAACAATAGTATACAAAGTCCGACTCATATAGATGCTATTAATCCGTTATCACCGGTCACCACATCAGGAGGAGGGCCATCAATAGGAGTAAGAAGAAATATATATAGTAAAGAATGCTTGAAAATGGTATATGTCGATCAAGACGGGACCTTTCGAATGAGTGCTACAGGGGGCAATCCAAGTGTTCAAGGTACTTTCGTGCTGTCATTCAATCGACAACTAAATAAAATACTAAAGATTTTTCGGTTCTTTCTTTTAGAATTAACAGATCCTCTTAGTTCTGAATCGGGAATTCGTGTATTGAAAATTAGTCCTGATGGCAAATTAATGGCATCAGGTGATCGAGGAGGAAATCTTCGGTAATAAAAATAAAAAATTTTACAAGTTCATTTGTTTCTCTTTCGTACATTTTATGCTGATTTTATATACGTTGTTTCAATCAGAGTCCATGACTTGGACACTTTTCGAGAGATAACATACCAAGAAGCGCACGATGCCGAAATTCTGAGTATCGAGTTCTCTGACGGTCGTGCAACGGAAGCACCGTATCTAATAGCGACCGCGAGTCGAGATCGAATACTGCATATTTTTGACATTAACAATAATTTCCAGTTGATACAAACGCTGGGTGATCATTCTTCGTCGATAACAGCTGTGAAGTTTACTAATGATGGTGGAAGATTGATTAGTTGTGGTGCAGATAAGAGCATCATATTTCGAAGTCGACAGAACGTGAGATTTTAGTGTGATTCATGACATGTATTTTTATTGAAATGCTAATATATAAAATTTGGCATGATTTTTAGTCCAACGATGTTCCTTATTATGTTACCTATCATAATATATCAGGACGTGCAACAGTATTCGACATGGACATTGACGTTTCAAATCGATACATTGCAACAGTATCCGGTGAACGTCGTCTAAACATCTACCACATCGACTCTGGCAAAAACGTCCGTTCCCACAAATCAGATACCCCCGACGAGATTAATACCCCAGATCAAGGCAGCCTTCTAAAAGTGAATCTGGATCCGGGCGGTGTACTCGCTGTAGCCGGCGGCTCGGACAAGAGTATACGGTTATTTGATTTCGCGAATGGAACGATCCTTTCAAAGGCGTTGGGTCATTCCGAACTGATCACCGGTGCGAAATTCACGCCGGATTGTCAGCGTATTGTGTCGACTTCTGCTGATGGGTGTATTTTCGTGTGGAAGATCTCGGATGAGTTGGTTGCGAAGATGAGGAAAAAGTGGCTGGATCGAAGTGGTGGCTTGAATGGTACTTCGCCTACCTCTCAAGATTTACTTGGATCGACACCGAGCAATGTTCAAACGGCACCCAGAACTACAATACCGCCGGCCCAGAGACCTCAAACAATGTTTGCTGAAGTAACGCCAAACCAAAATGAAGATGGCTATCTTGAAGGACCGGAATTTGTAGTCAGAAAATTACATAAAAAATCATTCAATTCTCTTCCCACGCCCGAAAATCATCATGAAGATGAAAGCAACACGTCTACTACTGGAAGTAACACAACTTCCAACAATTCTACCCCTGCTCCCACACCCACGACAACTTCATCATCATCCTTACCAACCGTCACCAATAATAGCGCTAATAGCAGAAGGTTAGGCTTAAAAAGACCGACATCTTTTGCGAACGATGGTTCTTCCTCGACATCGCGTAATCGACTACAAGCCCATATTACAAGTCGACCCGTTTCCGATATTTCTATAAGTAGACTTCCACGCATATTTCCTAATGCCAATAATGGAAATAATGAAGCAAGTCCCACAACTCCGCCATCTAAAGGTAACAATAGTAGTAATTGCATTAGTCCACCACCTTCACGACGTGATTCGTGGAAATTAAATATACCCGGTTGGGCAAAGAAAGCTTTTAAGGATAAGGAAGACTATGATGGAGGCATGGATCAAGAAAAGGAAGGGATAGATAGTGATACGGCAAGTAATAGTTCTGTTAAATCTCCGCTGTCATCATCATTAACGACAATACCACTAGTTAGAGATACTTCAGTAAATCTCGACAAGAAATTACCTGCGATACCAAGATCATTAACGAATCCGAGACTTAAATCGCAAAGTAAACTAAGACAAGAATCTACAAATTCATTATTTGAGACGGCGAAGAAACCGGAGATCTCCGAGAATACTAACGTTGCTCCCAGTGAAACATCAAATGAAGGGCTCGAAAACATCAATAGTGTAACCAGTGAAACATCATCGGTTCTTAGTGATAACGCATCCTCGATTCCATTCACCAGCTCAAAAATATCGCCGCCTAGTGCTGAGGAAGAGGATGATGATGATGATTTATTCTCACCAGCAGAAGATGAACTTCCAGGTGAAGAATCTTCTTATGAAGATACGGAAACTTTGTTCGTTGAGACAGGTGGATACGACGACGATGACGACGAAGACGATGAGGTGAACATGGATGGTATGCTTTCTAAAAGACGACGTAGGAGTAGTAGTTTTGCTGCAAACATAAAAACTGCTGAATTTTCTGCAAACGTGTCAAAATCAGCATCCGATGATGAAAAATATGTCGAAGTGCATGCAGAAGAAGATGACGAAAATCAAGAAACAGTAGAAGGTGACGATGAAAGAGAGGATGACGACGAGGAAGAAGGAGAAAGTGGCGATGAGAACACAAAGAAATTAGAAATGTACCTTCAAAGTCCCGTTGAACAAGACTTCAAAAAAGATCATATTATTATTCGAAATGAAAAGGATTCAGGTGATCAACTAGTCTATGAACAAAAAAATAAAAAACGAGAAAGTCTCACCTATAAATACCTTTCAGGTGGTCATCAAAAGAATTCATCGCAAGATTCAAGTGCTCGAAATAGTTTGGTTGAAGCATTTTCAAGGATATTTACAGGAGGAAGAAATAGTGCGGAAAATAATGACAGCACTGTTATTGATGAATGTGAAAGTGAAGATCGTGCAAATAAAAATGCTGTTGAGCAAGCGCTGGACATATTGGAAGGGAAATCTGCCGGTGGTGAGGTCGTGAGATATGAAGATGAAATAAAAAGTGATTCGAATATTAACAATGGTACCATAAACTTGGACATTACTACTTTAGATGCCGTAGATGAAATAAGTTCACCTATTTCAACACCACCTTCTCCTTTAATATCAGAGTCATCAACTTTAAAAGATATCGATGATGACAATAAACGTCGCATTGAATCCGTATCATCAGATCAAATGAATACAGGAAATGCAAAGACATTTTCAGAACAAGATGATTTAAAAAAGGAGGATACGGAAATATCCCAAGATGATGATGTTGTCGATTCTGAAATTGATATTATCAAGAAGAATCATAATCAAGAATCAAAGGAAAATTATGATAGTAATAATGCATCATCATTGAATATTATAGAAGAAAGTATAAAAGAGAATGATAACGTTGACAAAGGTGATAACAAAGAACTAGAAATCGAAATGAATGTTGATTCTTCCTCGCTCACTATCAATGATAATGAGAAAGATCCAGTTGTGTTATCACCTATTAAATTGGAAAATGAAGGTATGCATTATATATATATATGTATGTATGTATATATACTAAAAATTATTTTAATAATTTATTATTTAGATTCTCTTTTGAATCGATCTTCGAGCATAGTTGACAAAGAGAATTTAGTCGAGACAGAAGGAATTGACCTCAACGAAGACAAAATTATGGAAGATGTCTATAACATGACGCTAATCACGGAACGAATGCTTGCAGTTTACAAGAAGGCATCTAATTTCAATAATGAAAATATCACCAAATTGATATCTGAAAGCTTGAAAGGGATCACTGATGATATACAAGATTGCTTCGGTGTTCTGGTTAAGGAAAAAGTTGAAGCGGAAGATAAGAAAACGATTCAAGAAAAAAGTGAAAAGAAAGAATTAGTAGCAGAGAGAAAACAGGAACAAAAAGACGACGATAAAAAAATAATTGTTACTATTCCGCAGCCTATTCAACACGAAACAGCGTTTGAAGTTGCAAATAACATCAGTAATAGCAATTTGGATGACGAAGATGAAGGAGATGCCGATTCTAATGTTTCATATATGACTGCGCTGACTCATAATCATGAATCAAGCACCGTGCCAACTCCTTCCCACGCGCGATCACTATCTACAGCCAGCAACACAAATAACAATGCCTTTTCCTCATCACCGCCAACAAACTCATTATCACCTTCTCTATCACAAACACCGTCATCATCACAACTACAACTACCACCAACTCCATCTACAACTTCGTCATCCGAAACAATAAAACCCTCAATTCTATCAATTAAAATTCATCAACAGCAGTTAACGCAAGAATATACAAATTTGTTGGAAAGCTATTCTGATAAATTGGTGGAAATGGTTGAAGAAAAATTAAATTTGAAAAAAAACAATAACCGAAAAAATAGTCACAACAGCAATAGCGGTAATAGCATCAACAACCCTAATGGGTCAGGATCTAGTAATTCTAGTGGAATTGTCAATGGAATCTCGTTTTCTTCTAACAATATTGGGTCCGGCTCTGTTAAAGGAGTAAAATCAAGAGGTGGTAGTATTCCAATTATTGGACGTACGAAAACCTCAAAATCACGTTTCGGATAGAAAAATGTATATAATATAAAAAATAGACATTTGATCAATCCATGTTTAAATACATGAACACAAATCCACAAATTAATAAAAACATTACTGGAGAAGAGGAAGGCGGGTTAGAAAATTAAAAATATCGATGATAATAACAATCGTAATCATTGTTAATATTATAATTATGGACAATATTACATATAATTATTAGGCGCAAAGATTTAATTTATTATTCTAAACATATAATTATCTATATTGTACAGTTGCTGGACGATCTGGCTTTTATCATTATAATTATATTATTATTTTATACACAAAAGAAACGAAAAATTGATTCATCAACAAAAAGTATTTTGGCCTTACTTAATAATGTTCTTGATTCTTCGCTTGTTTTTTTAGCGCCTTAACTTTCCTATTATGATTTTCATGAGATTATTTGCCAAAATGAATCAGATCTTTCGATTCAAATCCTGGGATTTGAATAACAATGTCGAGATATCCACTTTGAGAGTAAGATCACTAAATAAATACAATGTTGGGTATGCTACCTGCCAATGCCAAGATGATATATCTCCAATTAGTACTTTGCTGAGTTTGTTGTAATCAATCTGTTCAAATGAAATGTGCCAAAAGAGCCAGAAGATTGTTTGAAAATATTTCAGAACAATCAATTTTAAATTTAAGAAAGTTGTCACCAACCAAGCTTGAAAAGTTAACAAATGATAACTTTGAAGAATTGCTGAGCATGGTGAAATCTTGGCAAATGGTATTTGATTTTATCAAGCAAAATCCTAACAAAAAGGAATCTGTTATAATATGAACTTTTACTATATTATTATATATTTTATTGAACAATTCATATCATAATATTATTGGATAATATTAATTAATATTTTATTAAGATTTTATTCATTAATATTAAATAATAAGATAGGTAATATAATTATAACAAAAGGATCCTAATAAAAATAGCACATAAATTATAACTAAACTAACAATATAATTATAACAAAAACAACAATATAATATTGTTATGATATATTTTATTTTTATTGAACATTTAATTTTATTTAATTCTTATTGATTATTTTGTATATTTATATCTTATTGGTTTATATTTTATTATATTCTTCTTGAATATTATATATTTAGTTATATTATTAATTAAAAAAATATAAAATTCTAAAAAAAATAAAAAAATTATAAAAAATAAAATAACATGAAATGATAAATTAAAGATAAAAGATATTTATTTTATTTTATATTATAATACTGAAAGTCATAACTTAATAATCACGTAATTCTGTTTCAATAATTTAATGTCATTTTTTTATAATTAATTAATAAAATAATATTTTAATCATATAAAATAATACAAACCAATTTAATTTATTATATAATTTATATTATGATAATTCAGGTTGGTACTATGATAATTTAGCATTAATATAATTAATAATACTTATCAAAATTCAGAAATTTTAGCAATTTGTCAAGCTAAAATTATTAAATATTATTTTAATAAATAAAATTTAATTGTTAAAATACTGAAATTCAAAGTTATATCAAAATTCAAAATCATGTTGAAATTCCGAGTCATATTAAAATTCAAAATTATATCAAAATTCAAAAATTATACTAAACTTCAAAATTATATTAAATATAAAAATAAAAAAAAATATTATTATATATTAAATTTAAAAAATTTATTATAAATTAAAATTAATATTTAATAATTATTAAATTTAAATAAAAAATTTTACAAAAATATAAATAATATAAATTAAATTTATTTTTATTGATTAAATCTTAATTGTATAAATTTACCAATTTTTTCCTTTTCTAATTTCTTTTTTTCATCTTTATTTTCATTTTTATCCTTATTTTTTTATTGAAATTTTTAAAATAACTGTAGTATAAGATCATTATTAATCTGATTTTGTTAATATTTAACATAAACTGAATTTTTAGTTCCTTTTTTCATTTTGTAATAGCTGTAGCTAGTATTTCTATGAACTAAACTAAATTGAACTTTTGAGTTCAATTCAAAATTTGAACTAAATTCAAACTGGTATTATGATTGAAAATTTCTATAATTTCTATAATTTTTATAATTTATAAATTTTTATAATCTATATGAACTCTAAAAATATTATAAACTTTGTATTCTTTATAATTTTTATATATAAAACAATTAGACAAATTTTATATTTTATCATTTTTATAATTTTTATATAATTTATTATTAATATAACATTTATTAAAAAAAATATTTATTATAAATAAAGCAATATTGAGATCTTGAAAAAGCTATTAATTAATCATTACAAAAATCTAGCTAGTTAATAAATTATTTATTGTTTATTGTTAATAAAATTTGTATATTAATTAATTTTAAATAATATATAATAATCTTATATTAAATACTTACATTTTATTGTGTATTATTAAACAATCATCAAGTTATTATAAATATTAATACTATATTACTATAAGATTGTTTCATATTAAATAGATATAATATCTATTAGTAATAGTGAGAGCTTATCTAACTAATAAAAGAAAATATATTGTGTGATGATTTCAAAGTACATCAACTATAATAAGATTGAGTAATTGTAAAAATACTGTTATTAGATGCTGATTTGATATCTATTTTATGATAGCATTCACCAAGAGTCTGATTATAATACTGAACTTTGATTTGAGTTCAAGAAATGTTCAAAGTTCAAATTGAACTCAAACTGAACTATTATACGAGTTTAAATTTGATTTGAGTTCAATTAAAGATCAGTATATAATATTATATATTAATTTGTAGCTCTAAATATAAGCTACAAACACAATTTATAATATTTAGTAAGAATTAAAAGTTTACATAGTGATAACTAAAGTATTTTTATTTTTACATTTATTAAATTTGATCGTAA